TTTTCTATCCTTTTTGCTAGTTTGTTACTGTAACATTGCCTTATTCTCTAGTTCTTTAGTTGACTCACGTCGGTTCTTTCATTTTGGTGTATCTTGTTGTACATCTTTTTAAGTCGCAGCCTTATATTACACAGTACTAGTGAGTGGTCTGAGCAGATGTCAGCACTTTGGAACGTCCTACAGTTGATGACCGATGATTTCTATCTCTGCTGGATGAGAATTAGGTCAATCATGTTTTTGTGCACGCCATCTGGTAATGCCCAAGCCCATTTTCGCTGTGGTTTCTGTTGGAATCTCGTGTTGCATATGTACAGGTTGCGCGTTGTTGCGAACTCTAGGAGGCGCTCTCCTTTTTCGTTCCTATCATCATGTTCATATCTTCCTATTGTCTGTTTCCAGTCTGTATTATCGCTACTAACTTTTGCCTTCTAGTCGCCTGTTATGATGATTATATCTTTTCTGTGTATTTTTGTTAGTACGTCCTCGACAGTACTGTAGAACGCTTCGGTGCCCTTATCTGAGGATGCAGATGTTGGTGCGTATGCATGTATTACTGTGATTTTGAATGATGCTGCGTTAAATCTAGCTGTGATAATTCATGAGCTGATCGGATTGTATCCTATAACCCAGACAGACAAAAAAATGAAAAAACGCGTTTAAACGCGCAGAGACTTTCGACCATGTCTGGCTGTCAATCGAGGTTCCCGATTGTGTGCCACTAACGACCAGTATAAGTGAACGTGAAAACGGTCTCTTTTTCATGCTTAATGAAATTTGCATATTTTCATTTCATTAACATAATATCATTTTCACGTTTAGTATTCCGTACCGTGTTTGACTCACCATCAAGAATCTCGATTGACAACCGATCACGATCAGTAAAAATGTACGTTAAAACGATCCTTTTCTTCACTATGTCGGAAAAACTTAACGTTTAAACGGCAAGTTTCTTGAAACTGTTTGACATTAATAATTTCCAACCATTTCTGACTGTCAGTCGAGAACCACGATTGACAACCGGTCACAGTCAGTAAAAATGGACGTTAAAACGATCCTTTTCTTCACTACGTCCGAAAAACTCAACGTTTTAATGGTATATTTCTTGAAATCATTTCACACTAACAATTTTCTATCATTTCTGACTCACAATCGGGAACCGCGATTGGCAGCCGATCATGGTCAGTAAAAATGAACGTTAAAACGATCGTTTTCTTCACTATCTCGGAAAAGCTTAGCGTTTAAATGGCTCATTTCTTGAAAATATTTCAAATTTATGATTTCTAGCCGTTTCTGACTTACAGTCGGGAATCTCGATTGACAACCGATCACGTTCAGAGAAACTAGACGTTAAAATGATCAGCTTGTTTACTATATCGGAAAAACTTAGCGTTTAAATGGCATGCTTCTTGAAACCATTTCACATTAACAATTTTCTATCGTTTCTGATTCACAATCGGGAATCGTGATTCGCAACGTATCACGTCCGGACAAACTGAACGTCAAGGTGATTCTTGTTCCACTACACTGTAAATCTCTAACATTTAAATGGTTCATTTTCTAAAACAGTTAGGATTTAGTTTTATTTCCTATTTTACACTCATAGTCGGAACCGCGATGGAGAATAGATCATGATCAGAAAAATTGGACATTAACATTATACCTTTTAAACTAAGCTGAGACTCTTTAATGTTTGAACTCTCTTCTCTTCAGAACCGATTCATATTTACCTTTCCTTATTGACCTCAGCTCATAGTTGGAATCCGTGAATATCAGTCGCAATTAGCTGCCTTTTTACATTATTAAGACGTAAACAAGAGTACTTTCTAAGATGTTTTAAGGTGGAAGAGATCTATGCGCACGACCATGCATGAATTCAACTGTCTCAAGCTCATAAAACATAGGATACTGCACATCACGAAATGAAGCGAAACTAACTGAATGCTAAAATGCTCAAGAGTAACGCTTGAAATCGAAATAGACGTTTCAAATAATTTGCAGAATACAACTCAATTCGAAAAATAGAAGGGAGATCCTGTGTGACATATGAAATTCTACTCAAAAACGGGAACTCAGAATAGTTGCATCAAGTGTACCTCTGAGGTCCGTCATAACTTATGTTGTAAAGACATATCCGACGGTAGGACACAGGAAAAAACTATGGAACGATAGCATTTTACAAGAATCGAATGAGAACAAAAGAGAAAAGATTTCTTACAGGCTGATTCTGCTTACGATTCCACCTAAGCTTCAAACATCTGAATGGGACTTATACTTAGGTCTGACCAAAAGTTCCCAGATTATTAAAAAAAAATATAAAGACAAAGAGAAAGTTCGAGTTTTATTTTATTAAATGTTCAAAATAGTCACCATGATTATTTATACAAAGTTCCATCCTTTCTAATAGTTTGTCAAAAGTTTTTTTAAATTCTTCTTTCGAAATTTTTTTCATCACCTTGGATACCGCACGAACCAATGATTTTTCATCTGGTTGATCAGTTAAATTACGTTTGATGTAATCATTTAGCCAATAATCACATGGTGCAAGGTCAGGTGAATTTGGTGGATGCGACATTATATTGATATGTTGTTCTGTTAAATAATTAATAACATCGGATTGAATATGGGGCCGAGCATTGTCTTGGAGCAGTTTTATACCTTTTGTACCTGCTGACTTTCTTTGTTTCCATATTTCCTTCACGACAAGCTCGAGGCAATTTTCAATATAATACTTGTAATCTATAGTCTTGCCTTCGTCAACAGCATGTATAAGAACAGGACCATTTGATTTAAAGAAAATAGAAAATAAATTTTTTGGTTCGAATTTACCTCGACGAACAATAGTAGTTGGTGATTCATCTTCGCCAACCCAGCTTGCGTTTGTTGACTTGCGATGAATCTGCCTATGGTAAATCCACGTCTCATCACCTGTTACAATATCACATAATCGCCAAGAACCATCACGGAATTTTGCCAAATTTTCACGACAAAGTTTAAGACGTTCTTGCTTTTGTTCATCAGTCAGTTGATGGGGTACTCAACGTGATGTAATTTTTTTCATCTTAAGACAATCGTGGATAATTCGTTCTATTGTACCATGAGAGAGAAATGTCTCAGCTATAATATCATCATAAGTTGAATGTGGATCATTGTTGATAACCTCTCGTACTAGTTCAATATTTTCATCTGTCAGCTCGGATACTGGACGACCAAATCGAGGATCATCATTGACATTTTCTCTTCCTTCACGGAAACGCTTTGCCCATTCTGCAACTGTTGGATATGATGGAGCCTTGGATCCCAAAGCTGTTGCAAGTTCTTCGTGAATCGTCTTTGGATTTATCCCCAAAATAGTTCGAATTTTTATATAATATCGATTGTATTCATTATCCATTTTTGAAAATTTTTTTTTAGTTCGAATTAAAGTTTATCGAAAAAAATACTATAACTAAGTCCAAAAGAGATTTACTATATATACTATTATAGATAAGACATTCCACTATTTATCCATGCACAACACTCTTCGATATTAATTGGCTTATAAAATTGCCAATAGCAATCTGGGAACTTTTGGTCAGACCTAAGTATAACCAGGCAATAGTACGAACATTCATCGACTTCTTCATACGGGTAGTGCAAGTATAACTCACTCAAAAAGGACGGGAGATTTTCACATGAAAACTCACCCTCATCTGTAACAGGAGATGTCAAACGAATCATTAGACGAATTTTGTCTATTATAACCTCAATATTCCAACAGGGTACAACTGATTGCAGAAAATAAATATCAGATGAGGTAAAAGATAACTTTAATGGATAGAACTTAGGTTTTTCAGATTAATACATGCAGTGCCATCTACGGAACTTGAGAGCAGAATAAAAGGATAATAACGAATTGAAAAATCAAAAAACAACTCACCATTACTAGTTTTCCAAAATCCACTTGAATTGTACATATAATTTTGAATTTCTATTCACATTTTTGAGTTCAACACAATATTAAGATTAATATCAATGCAACCTAGAACGATACATAACAATGAAAATCAGCACTCATTCGTATGCAATTGAACTCACCATTAATTATTCGAAAACAAGAACCAAAGACAACCAACATAAAATCTCTTTGCAACTAATACCAATAAACGAAACTTGTACAGCTGTACTCCACTAATTAAACCTAATCAAGAAATATATGATTTTATTTATGAAACTCAATCAAACCCACCCTTTCTGATTCAGACACACTAATCTAAAACAAGAGATATCAACATTGTTTCCAATTAATTTATGTATGTCGAACTCACCATGATATATTCTGTAGTAAAAAACTAAAAAACAAACGTCATGAATAATGATACTCATTAATTGTTTGAAACTAAAATCACCATTATTTCTTTTATCATCTGAAGCTGAAACAAGAGATACAAATATAAAATCTAATAACTAAGTTTAAATCTAACTTATCAGTTTTTTTCTTACTTTCTCACATGAATCTAAACCAACAGAAATCACTGCTTTCTCTTGTTAGTAAGTTTATATTGAACTCACCATTATCTTTATACCACAACAACCTAAAAAAGAGATATGAATAATGTTTTCTTTTCTCTTAATTAATTAATATCAAACTTACCTGTATTCGTTTTATCATGCGAATCTCAAAAAACAAGATATAAATGATACTTTAAGTTTATAGACTTAAATGGAACTCACCATTTTTTTGTTCTATGATACTATTCTAAAATAAGAGAAATGAGTATTGTTTCTTATTACTTAACTTATATTGAACTCACCATAATTTATTGCATCGCAGAAAAGCTAAAAATAGATATGAAAGATGACTTCTACTAGTTGATCAATATCGCACTTACCTACAGTCATTTGCCCATGTGAATCGGTAAAAAGAGACATAAATATAATTTCTGACTTTTAAATTTAAATCAAACTCATCATTTTATACCACATCAAATGAATCTAAAACAAGAGAAATGAACATTGTTTCTTATGACTTAACTTATACTGAACTCACCATTAATTATTATACTGCAAAAACCAAACAAACGAATATGAATAATGTTTTCGCTTGATTAAATAATATCGAACTTAAAATCACATATTTTATCATTCGAACCTAAAAAAATATATAAACAATACTTTTACTTTATAGAAATACATTGCACTCATCATCTTTTTATTCTGTCAAATGAATATAAAACAGAAAGTATCACTATTGTAGCCTATTAGTTATTTACTATTTACCTCACCATCATCACTTCTATCGCAAACACCTAAAAAAGAAATATGACTAATATTCTCTATTATATTAAAAATTGCGAAACCAAATTTTACTGAAATACGATGATAGACCATAAACAAAGATTTTCAAGTGTGCAAAAGAAAATTTTTCTGTAAGTCACTTCTTACGATTTTTCTTAGGCATAATCCTGAGCTCAAACTCATAACTAATGTATAACCCTATGAAAGACTGCGACAGTTAGTCAGACACTGTTTAATTCAAAAACCTTACAACATGCTGCAAGCGCTCCACACGATACAGAATACCGTTCAAAAAGTCTGCAACACGGCGAAGGTCCCCCTTAAAACTAGACAAATAAAAAGAATTCTAAGAAATTCATTCAAAGAAATCACTACTATTTGGTGTAACGTGTCGTTAGAAGCGACAATAGTTTAATGAAATTGTGCCAGTGGGCATATCATCTTATATGATATCTTTACTTTCTCAGTGTGTTCTTGTACAATCAATGTTACGTAGTGTTCATAATCGCATTACTCTTACGTTTATGTATGCTTGATTGAACCTTATTCTCTTTCTGTCGTAATGCGCTTCTCATTCCACATTCACTCGTATATCATATGTATTGCTCTCATCTATGTGTTCTTACTCGATTGTTCATTCTTACATTGTTCTCTCCCTGGCCTCATCACTTGTTCATTCTTACATTGTTATCTCCTTGGCCTCATCACTTGTTCATTCTTACATTGCATAATCTTCTGTTATATCTTTCTTATTTCCTTTCCTCCCCTTATATTGTATTATCTATTCTCTCTCTTCTCTCCCAGCTCTCTCCTATATAAGCTCATGTTGTGTATGAGAGTGTTACATTTTGGATGTAGTGCACAGTCGAATAAACATCATGCTCACAATGAGATTAAAGACATTAATGTGCCTCTCCATTTGTCATAACGAAATTATATATATATAGATATATATTTTTCGTTACAGAAATTACATATAAAATACCATCCATGTCAAAATACGTAGAAGCTGATGAAATCAATTATTTAAAAGCCAAAAATTTTCAAGTACGCATGTATGAAAAATCTCTTGCATCGTGTTTCATAGAATTTCCTACTATCAGCTGTTTAAACGTTTGCGATGTGGATGTATTCAGTTGTAAAACAACTTATACATCAAAACGCCTCAAACGCGATGATATTAGCCCACTAAAAATTCAGAACTTTCAACTATGCAGATATAAAAAAAAGGTATACTGAAGCTCTCAAAGGTTATTGATATCAGACTTCCAAACGTTCAAAAACCCAAAGTCAGTAATTATCGAACAAAAACACGCATCGCAACTCCTACAAGTTGACGATATCCGCCATTTAAACTACTAGAAATTTGCAGTATGAAGATACAAAATAATTGCTGTATCGAAACTCCTACCAGTTGATGGCATTGACACTTTAAATGTCCAATAATTCTAACTATGTATATTTAAGAAAAATGATTCATTGAAACCCATAGAAGTTTTCGATAACAGCCGTTTAAACGTTTAGGATTATAGGCCATGCATACAAGAAAACAATTTATACATTCAAACTTCTAGGTTTTGATAACATCAGTCGTTTGAATGTCTAGAACTTTGACACATGCAAATATATAAAAGAAACTGTTTTCGAAATTCGCAGTACCTGATGATATCAGTCGTTTAAACGTTCAGAATCTTGAATCATGCGCATATACATAAAAATTCGTACATCTAAACTCTTCTCAATGGAAACTATCAGTCGTTTTATTATATAGAAATTTGAACCAAGCAGATGCAGAAAAATAAAATCATCAACACTTCTAGAATTCAATCAAACCAGTCGTTTAAATGTCTAGGACTTTGAAGCATGCATGCATATAAAAAAACCGTATGTCGAAACTCTTTGAAGTTGATAGTATCAGGCGTTTTAATGTTTAGAAGTTTAAGCCAAGTAGATACAAGGAAACCAAATCCTAAAAACCCTTAGAATTCTATCGTATCAGCCAGCTAAACATTCAGAATTTCATATTATATACATGTACAAAAAATTCGTACATTTCAACTTTTCGCAATTGTTACTATAAGACGTTTTGATCTAAAGAAATTGGAACCAAATAGATACGGAATAATCAATTCATCAAAACTCCTAGAATTCGATCATATTAGCCATTTAAACTTTTAGAATTTCAAACCATGTGCATAAACAAAAAAAACATACGTTTAAACTCTTAGCAATAAATAATGGCAGCCGTTTTATTATATGCAAGTTTAAAACAACTAAATACAAGAAAATCAAATCATCAAAACTCCTAGATTCGGAAGATATCAATCGTTTAAACATTTAGAATTCTGAATCATCCGCATGTAAAAAACTTTTGCACATCTAAACTCCTAATATTTGATAGCATCTGTCATTTCATTGTATAGATATTTAAACCAAATGGATACAAAAAAAAAGAAATCATTAAAACTATTAGAATACCATTATATAAGCCATTTAAACGGTTAGAGTTTTGAATCGTGCACATTTATAAAAATTTCGTACGTCGAAACTCTAGGCACTCGACACTGTCAGCCGTTTTAATGCGTAGAAATTTGAACCCAATAGATACAAGAAAAACAGCTCATCAAAACTGTTAGAATGCAGTCATGTCAGCCGTTTAAACGTTTAGAATTTTGAACCGATCATGTTTAAAAAAATCTGACCGGTCGAAACGTCTGAAACTTATTAAAATCGATCGTTTAAACGTTCGGGTTTTTCAACTATAGGCATTTAAGAAAATTCTTATCTAAAAACTCCTCGAAGCCGATGAAACTAGCTGTCTAAACGCTTACAATCTACTACAAAGAAGATGTTTGAAATTTTTGCTGCTTCAGTATGTCGAATTATTGCAGCATGTGCTGTTTAAACATTTGAATTTGCGGAATAGTTAACCTAACAATTATGTGGAGAGAATAACATCCAATTTGCCTTATTTTTAGGCGTGTACATGGTTAGTAGCTGTCATTGTAACTTGCATTTTATAAATGTTGTGGAAAACGTACAAAAAAATCAACTTTTTGACACGTTAAATGCGTTTTCGGAACCAATGAGCATTTACACGTCAAAAATGCCAGTTTTCCAGATGTTTAAATGTTCGCAAATATTCAAGAGATCAAAAATGTACGTTTTCACCGATGGAATTCTAGAATTCCTCGCGTTTACATGTCCATCTTTTTTTTGACGCGTGTAAACGCTTGGAAAAGTCAGTTTTACGGTGTGTACACGCGTTTTTTCGAATTCTTGTCTGCTTGGGTGCGCATGCACGCTACTTTGCTGCCATCGATGAATTGGGAGCCAATGGTTCCAAGATTTTTTGGCATGATGAGACATGGTGTAACAAAAATGAAGAAAGGCGTTTTGTTTGGACCGATGGAACAACAGGTATTGGCCGACTTTGACGCAATCAGAGCAAAGGTAATGACAATTTCTTTTATAATCCAGCTGAATAATGCTTATTGTTACAGGTAAAAAACTAGCGACCGCTGCGCTTTTGAACGAATTGGGTTTTCACAAGGAAACAGTCGGCATGTTCGAATGTGATGAAAATCATAGTATGGACTCGAGACAGTTTCTGACCTGGATTGATCGAACAGCTTCTCTTCTTTTAAAAGAGAAGAGCACGATAATATGATTTTTAACCTTTTACCATTACTTTCATTGTTGATATACGTAGGCAAGCATGCCAAGATTGTCTTGATTATCGATAACGCAACTTGGTACAATCAACTTACTGAAGACACTATTCCTCCTAAGAGAGCATGGCGGAAAGAACTCATCGTTCAGTAGTTGATAAATCACGGTATTACAGCCCCCGTGAAAACCGCCAAAGCTGAGTTACTCGAGCTTGCTTTCGATAATCTACCACCAAAGTGTTACGTGGTTGATGATGTAGTCAAAAAATACAATGTCGATATTCTACGATTAGTTATTACTCTTTCAAATCATTTTTACTCTAATAATTATACGTATTTTTATAGTTTGCCAGTGAAGCGTTGCGTGCTCAATCTCATTGAGTTAGTATGGGCTGGCTTAAAAAATTATGTACGTGGCAAGAATGTTAACTTTAGCCTCAGTGACGTTCAACACTTGGCCTACCAATGGATGATGTTCTTGAATAGAGAAACCGCTATGAGATATATCGATCAAACACGTAAGATCGAAGACATCTTCAAGAAGTCTGATCGATTCTCTGAAAAAATTGAGGAACAGTTGGTGGACGAAGAGGAAGAGGTCAATTCGATGGCAGAAGAAATGATTGATTGATAATATGAGTCGCTGCTCTTTTTCTTTCCATGTTTCTGTATATAAATATGATCCTAGACGTGTTACTTGTAGTCAGAAGTATTGTGAAATATGATATACATATTCCAAGTTGGCAATTTAATAACATATGAAAACAATATCGTACAATCATTAGTAGCTATATTTTGATAGAAAAAGACTTGTTCTACAGAAGAATAAGCATTGCCAATCGATCCGCCATGATCAAAAACATCAATAGTGATAATTTGAAAAATGTTATGTGCAAGGTAAAATCGATAAAAATTTGGTCAAATATCATCAATATTTGGTTCATAACTTTTGAATGAATTGAGATAAAAACTTCGGCCTTTCGTAGATTTGTAGGCTGTCCGCTGCTGATTCTAGTCCACTCCTCAAAACTTAAAATTCATTCTATCTTCATAGCACAACAGCCTACGCTTTCAAGGTGACCATAGATTACTACTTATTCATCAAAATGAACCTCAACAATTTTATATGGATCGATGTGCTAGATAATCCTCTTTCAAACGACACAAACCCGAACTCAATAGGTGGTTGTGGTGCAAAGTTATTAAAAAATATACCTACCCGCCTTTTTTTTCTGAGTGGGCAGTAGAAGTGAATTAATATGCGATCCCTATGGAATTAGTGGAGAGATTGTAGGAAGCTTAAATGATAAAGCAATTGACCGATAATCAAGATGTGCTAGGATCGTATCCTAGCTAGAAGTTGATGATCCTTCTTTTCAAGTTGTTCGTACTTATTAAAACATATCACTGTGGATATTTATTCTTGTTCTTCTCATACATAACTTCGTAGACAAGCAACATGATAGTACTTAGAATCTTTTCTTTTTATTTTAGATTAAACTCATATTCTTATCTTTACTCTTATCTTTGGAAAGATCTATTCGCAAATGGAATAAGTGTCTGTTTTCCAACAACCTTTCGCTCCTGATGAGAATGTAGCCATAAAATGGTGAAGTCCATCTGTATAAGTACGATTTCGAATAGCTTCCTTGGCACCAGGATTTATTGTCAAGTATCTCTCATTATCAAATTCCTGTTTTTTGGCACATCGATATTTGAGATGCATACTAAGTGCATGAAAAGAGGTTTGATTCAAATTAAGACCAGATGATGGCAATAAATCAATCGGTGTTAATGAATATAGCATTTTTAACTGCTTGTAGGCATTTATGAAAATACGTCTATAATCTTGTGAGTAATTAAATTCCGTGATATCACAAACGACTTTTTCCGTATAAGTGTAATATTGTATTGGTGAGACCATATATGGTGGGAAACCTTGATCTACTTTAATTAAAAATTCTTCAACAGATCGGCTGTAATAATGAATTAATCCTATCGTTGCATCGTTTCTCCGTGCCCACGTCATTACGATTTGGTTGCTCGTATTTTTGCAGGTAGCTCCATGAGGAATATGAAAGACTGTTTTACTTGCTCTGCCTAAAACCTTTTTTTGTAATCCTGTTTTACATATACGAGGATATGATTTAAATAATGTACGATTTGGTCTCAGCATTCGACCTTCTCCATACATATAAATCCAACGAATACCAACTGCGCATAAAGGATGTTGTTCTAGTTCTACAAGAAGATCATTAAGTGTGTTCACTGCAACATTTTGTTTTTCAAAATAAAAAAATTCATCAGTATCAACATATGCCACCCAATCTGCATGTATTCCATATTTAGTGATACATTCCTTGGCTTGGGTCTGTTGGTATTTGAATTGAAGTAATTTTGTAGTGTTCTGTTGCCACGGAACATGTGTTACTACTCCAGCTGCAATGAACGGTTCTAATACAGTGCTTATATTACTATCATAACCAGCCAAAATTCTATTATTATCATAAACGACAATGTGAGAAAATCCACTTATAACATTTCGTAATAGGAATTCTGCAATATGAGGATTATTTCTAGCAATTGTACAGATCATAGATCGATAACGTAGACCATGGATAGATGAATAATTAGAACGAAGACGAGAAATCAATTTCACTGCTTCGTCGAAATTCGATTGTAATTTAACAGAAGATAATTTTTGAGATGACCCATCTCTTTTATCAATGAGTATTGCACCAATCACCATTAAAAATATCAACATAGATATTTTTATCGAATATTTTTGGAAAAATTGAAAATTTCTTCGTTTAACCATTATCGAATTTTGGATTAAGTTTCGTTCGGTTTAAAAAAAATTTCAACTATAAAAGGAATTAAAAATAACTTCTATGATAACTATTTCTTCATTATAAAATTAACAAGATACTTTATTAAAAAAATGCCAAAAAAGTGATCCATTATTTTCTAATTCCAGGACTGAAGCTATTTTTTAAAAATTTGTAGCAACAATAGACATTTTCTAGAGAGCAGAAATACTATTCAATTATTTTATTAAGTCACTTGTTTAGAATCTTGGCAAATGAGCATCTATTTAGTAATGAAACTCTGTCTTATGGAAAATCATATAGAAGAAATGATCATCTATAGATTTTCTAGAATTTTTTCAAAAAATTAGTTCGTTCTCTCAAATAAAAAGCTTTTAATATAATTCCTACAGAAGTGAAATATGAAAGACAATGAAGCCACTGCAGCAATGGACAAAAACTATTCATCATGTTCGTCACGTTTATTGCGGGAAGAAGAAATATTCAACCTAGAAATATACATTCTAAATTTTGCTTTCTCTAGATATCTGCGACCATGTCAAAGATTTTCGTTAGAATGTTTTTACTGACATTCGCACAACTATTTCAAGAAAAAACTTCAGCTAATGTATGAGTAAGCAAGAGAGAGAAAGAGACATTTGAAGAAAGTGTTTATAAGGAGATGTTCGTCGACGATAGGAATTATTTGTGACAGAACCGAATACGATGCAGTTCTCTCTCCTTATTTTTTAACAGTCATTTACAATTGTGCTTGACAAAGATAGTCAGGATCTCAGCAACTGCGTTCTGCAAAACATGATTGTTAAATAACTGTTGATGTATCCAGCAAGGAAATGGAAGTCTCTTCTACAAACACATTCTCCATATAGACATTCTTTTTAAAGGGTATTTGTAAAAGACGCAAAGACCCTCAAATCAGAAAGTGATACCATCAATAGATCGAGCTCGTCGAGCTGATTCTAAGGGTACCCGCAAAGGGAAGGTGTCATACACCCAGAATATCAGATATGCTAGAGATGCAATTGGAAATGAGAGATATACAAAAGCATATATAACAGACTATTCAATTATTACACATATGAAATCTCCACAGGAGACGCAGGATCTCAAGTCACTTCTTCTTAGGAGATACAGTATCGTGTAGCAGACATTTCGTACTTAGTCAATCTGAACTCCTAACATGTGTCCGAGTGTTCGACAATGGGTTTTTTCTCAAAAAAAGTTTTGACGACAGTTCGTAATCGTTTTTGGACAGGACATCATATTGAAAAAACAGGGAGACCAGAAGAATATTATCGGAAATTCGAAATGGAATGCTTGTTTCTATATGTGATGCAGTGTCTGGAGATAGGCATGAGACAGACCGAGTGTTCAGAAGAAGTGTAGGTGTGGGTATCTCTGGGTGCCGCTGTGGGTGTCGGC